TTGGGTCAGTGACAAAGTGCCCTTGTTTTAATTTCCAGTACAAAAAAAAAATTCAAAAGGAAATAGAAAACCAGATGATGATTTCATTTATGCTCAGGAATATAGAAACAGTAAGATATACTGCCCAGGATGTTCCTGGGGTAAAGAACTCAAGATCTCTACTTAAATCTTTGTGTTGGTTGAGAAACAATTAAACATTTCCTGATCTAGAGAACAACCATCTAGGTTTGAGTCCCCATGTCTCCACCTATTTCTGAGTTTGTTAATATGTCTGAGACCAAGCATTGTTATGTGTCTGGATTTTCACTTGATACAACTGCATTGAGTATAGATTTAAAAGATACTGGATACTCCCTATTTGATTAATAAGTGATAGCTCCATACAATAAGGAGAAATATGAGATATCATTATTATTGCCATTGAGATTTAGGCTGATCACTATATTTTGACTTATATATCCTCTGACGTCAAGTTGTGGTTTTCCCAGTTCCCTGTAGGACATTTTGTTTTTGTCCTACTGTGAGTAAACACTGAATATTTGGGGAGAAATTACAAAGTGTGTGATTCTGGTTTCCCAGAGCCTACACCTTACTTGGCACATGACACCCACCGAGGATTAAAATCCTGTTAAATACTGTTAGACCCTTCCTTGGTCCATAGAAACAGAGCATGGCGGGTGGCTACTCACCCTCTGGCCGTTTATGCCTGTGCTTTACTCCTTCCAGGGACATCTCAGAGGACCAGAGATAAAATAAAACAATGCTTTTGTCTATGTAATGGAAACAAGGGACTCATTATTTAAAAGACATAGCAACACTGAGTTATTCAAAAGTCATAGAAGAAAATTCCACAAACATAAAAAGTAGAGGTGCCAAGAGAAAAGACAGGTGAACCCTATTGTTCAGGCTCAGAGTCACTGGAGGGTCTCAAGTCACTCCATGTCTCATGAACTTCACCAAGAGACTGTGTTCATCAATCAACCGGCTATTCCCACAGTGATTTCTTCATTAAAAATAACACTTTGTTGTTAAGCCTCAAACTTGCATCAGTTTCTACATAAGTGCTTGATATGGTGTTAATTTCCATGTTTCCAGTAGGGAACATGAGCACAGAGAGGTGGAGAGAAGAAGGATCAGGGCCACCTACCGATCTCCTGAACTCAGTACCACGGGCCTGTTCTCTCCAATGGAACCAAAGGGACATATTATTTCTTAGACAGAAAACAAAATTTCTTTGTGCTCTATCATGATTATTGTTTACATATCTTAATAACAGGAGAATGTGTTTTATATTAACTAATTTTTACATTTCACCACAAGTGCAGGTGATTAATGGAATCATTGATCGTGTATAAACAAACTCAGGTTACTGTCCCGTACATGTCATGGAAAATGTCTCCTTTAAAAAAAATTTATAAGTATTTTTATGTATGGCTTATTTATGTTGTATGGTGTGACATTGCAGAACACAATGTGGAATTATCAAGTCAAGAAAATTTGGTACCTATCACCTTCAAGATTCATCATTTGTTTGTGTTAGGAACTTTGAAAAGTTCCATTCTCCGAGCTGTTTTGGAGTAGGCAACAAATTATTGAGAACTACAGTCACCTTGGGTGCTACAGATACCAGATTTTATACACTTCCTTTACATTTTCCTTTCTTCCTTTCTTCTCTTTTTCCTGTCCTTCCTTCCTTCCTTCATTTCTTTCCTTTCATACTTGGGGTTAATCCCAGAGGAGCTCTGCCACTGAGTTACATCCCCATCCCTTGTTAGTTTTTACTGAGACAGTGTTTTATTAAGCTATGGAGGCTGGCCTTGAACTTGTGATCCTCCTGCCTCAGCCTCCTGAGCAGCTGGAATTAAAGACTTGCACCACCATGACCGACTCTTTTCTATAAGGGTGTTTTCATACCTAATAAGCAACCTATGTCTGTACCCCTACTCCCTTACGCTTCCCAGCCTCGACAGTACTTATAGTATTCTCTACTTCTACGACATCCACATTTTTATCTTCACATCTTCCATATATGAGAAAAGATGGGTATTCCTTTTGGGGATTTATTTCACTTATATGGTATCCACTAGTTAAATCTAAAAGATGAAGAATGGATAATATGTCAAAATTATTCATCTTTATAGCTGAATAATATTCTTTTGACTAGATAAATGAAATTTTCTTTATTCATCCATCCATTGATGGAAACCTTGACTGATTTCCTACCTTAACTATTAGGAGTTGAGTCACAAGTAGAGACCCACAAAGATTTTGAAGATGATGTTGCAAAATAAACTGAAAAATTCAGTGATGTTCCTCCATCATATAATGGCTTATATCTGTAAAAGAGTTTGAAGTAGATGTTCACTGACAGACTTAAAATGTTGATGCAAATCAGTTTTCTTCAGGAACTGTAAGTATTATGTACTATTTAAATGAGACTTGGCTACCTTTTAGGCAAACGTGTAAAAACTATTGTAAATTTATTAGATATCTATTAAAACGGAAGTACAAAATTATCAACTGGAAAATTATGTTCTTCCTGCAGATAATGCTGTGTCCCAGTTAAAATACTTGAAATAGATATACATACTTTATCCTGAGACTCAAATACAATCTTGTGACACACAAGGTCACGCTGAGGAAGTGTGTGTAGGACACTGTTCAGCTGATACCATTTCTGTGCAGTGGGACAGGTACTAACCTTTGGCACTCATGCCATAGGAATTCATTTCTAGATGGTCTGTATCCACAGGGAAAGAAGGCTCCTTATAGGATGGATGTATGAAGAATGCATAAAATGAAGTAACATACGATTTTGGTAATCTTCCTAACACTTAAATTAATCTTCATGCAATTCCATTTAAATCTCCTGTGATCTGAAGTTACCACTTCCCTATTTCTGTAATGGTGCATTTTATTTTCTCCCATAAACATACATTTAAATATGTAGAGAGGAACCCCCTCTTTCATTTATGATTGCCCACAACTTATCCTGTTCTTGGCATAGAGTTGACGTCACCAAAAAAAACCTTTATGTTAATCATTGAATAGGCTTTCCTCAGTTCACA